TGTTTCGATGACCTTTCCTGCTGGTACAGTAAAACAAACACATTCCTCGATCAACTTCATTGTTCCCACAAGACAACTTTTTCTAGAGCCACCATTTGGCCAACGTTTTTGCTTGGCCTTAATATGTACAACAAATCTTTTTCATTGACGCTGTGTTGAAATTGAACGGACAGGATTTCAACCTTTGGGCAGCGCATCCATCACTTTGAAAGGCGTTTTTTAAAAGCAGCCATAGAGTGAAGTGAACTACAGCAGGGCTACAACCCACAGAAATATAGCTTCACTTCTTTGACTTTTTTTTTTTTAGTAGAAAACTCATTTCTAAAAACTACTACCTGTATTTAGTCTCACATTGTAGCCATCGTTTATCTTATTCTGCATTGTCACTCTGGATCTGTGTGTGCATTTAAACCCTGGGTTTAACCAACAGCTCGCCTCAGGTGTGACTCAAGGCGGTTTCTCCTGCTTTTAGCCGAGGAGAAGCATTTGTAAGAGGCGATGTGTGCGAACACCATAGTCTCGCACGTCCTTGCCGCCAAGCAGCTCTGAACGTTTTGGATCACAGCATCGTTACCAAACAGAGCTGCACGGAGGCGGAGTCACGCTAAAGGCCAGCCCTCCTCTGCGTGCGTTTGTTGCTCTGCTCGCCGCTGTGGCAGATGTGTTAAGCAGCACATGGCCTGGTGTGTGGTCTGGGGCTTAATTTGAGATTAACACTCAGGATATTACAGATTACCACACTCCTCGTTTGACCTTCTGCGTCTAGTCGGCCAGGGATGGATGGATGAGCTTTTATCTTTTAGTAGTTACAGCGACTCCGCTTTGCTACGGAGGCCATGAACGGCTTCCAGAAGTTGTGTCACGCTGTCGGCATGGAAGCGAGGATTACACCCCTGGAATTCTTTCGACTAATTCGGACTGCGTGGGTTTAAAATCTAAAATGTAATCAGCTTCGATTAAACTATTTCCGGAGGTTCGTGGACGGATGTGTCGGATTACTTTCACATTTTATAACCTGCAAAATTCAATGTCAGCTCGTCCTCAATTTAATTAGACATTGAGAGTGATGATTCCAAACTGTAGTGATCGCTGTGAAAAAGAGAAAATAATCACAAAGTAAACTATTTCAACACTGTATTGCACTGATTTTGTTGACAAGTGTTTGACAAATTGGCCTGTTGCATTAAAACCAAACTTGTTCTGCATTGTAATTCTGCATAATTAATGATGCATGCTTCTTTTTTTGTAACTGTTGGGCTATTGTGTGGTTTCCAGCATCAATGGTTGCTCAGCTGCAGCTCCACTTAACATGTGTTGGCTTCTCTCCTGCTCTCTGTGCTCGCGTATACTGTCTTTCAATACAGCTGAGTTCTCCTAAAAGCTGTTGTTCTTTACACATTTTCCTGTTTCTGTTGTCAGACAATGGAATTTACGAAAAATAGGGACTGAAATGTGGCTCGTTAAGGCTACGTTAAGCTGCTCTGCATCGCCAAAATTCAGATTTAGAGACATCAAGCGACAAACTCACCATACACATGAGATAAACGCAACAGCTCTTGTGAATTCAGCTACGTTTACATTGAATGTGAAGCTACTAAAAGTCAAAGATTCATTACACACTAAGGAAAACAGGAGTTGCTTTAGCTGTACTGTGGTGGTTAAAGATCCACTGTGTCCATGTTGCATTTTGTTGAATATACAGACCACTTTGTTAGGGGTTCAATGCAGACATGGACTTCTTTTGGCTCTGCACGACTTAAATATTAATCAATTTTCTAAATGTATTTCCATCACGATGCAGTTTAACTGTATAGTTTTGCATTTTCATATGTGAACTTTTGATTACATTTTTTATTACAGGCTGCATTATACGACATACAGCTTGTCAGAACAAAATGAACTCAATTGGCATGCTCATTTTCTGTTTTCTCAAAGAAAATTAGATGTTTAGATGAATAATTAGTAGTACAGTTGTTTGTAGCAGTTCTATTTCTCTTTCATAAACATGCCATGAACACAGAACAAAAATGCTCCATTGGGTGCAAACACAACAGCTGTTGTTCCATGAGCCGTCTTACTTTATGTATGCGCAAAACTAAGCTGCTGCAGTGGCTAATAAACAAAATTATAATTAGAACATTGCAGCTGTGATAGAAGCATGAAGAATCTAAATATAGACACATATGACTTGATGAATTTACATATGGGGAGGTATGGCATGGAAGATAATGTGTGCACAGTTTGACTAATGCAGTCAAAAGCATTAGTCGGGGAGAGACCAGTGTTAAACATGACGTTTTTACACATTAAGAGAGCTGTAAGAGAACGCTGTTATATCTTGTTGATGGATCTGGAAGCTCTATATGCTGAAAAACTCTAAAATAAAGTTTATTCAAAGAAAATGAAGATAGTTATTTATGTTACATCATCATTTTCCGTGTACTTCAGGGACAATTTAAATGAGCGAGCCTCCATCAGTCTCTCTCTCTCTCTCACTCACACACACACACACACACACACACACACACACGCACACTCCTGCTGTCAACTGAGGGCCAACTGCCAGCTGCCCCCGTACTTCTCTGTCCTCATCCATATTTGATGCGTCTCATTAAAACTTGATTGTGGAAACACTTCAGCATTCTGACATTCCTTCTGATCCACTATTTAGTCTCCCTCAGCACTTCGGAGTGAAAGAGCCCCCCTCAGTCATGCATGAGCGGCCTTCAGGAAAGAAACACACCACACGAGGGTGGATGAAGACATGCCAACTTATCTCTAGTGCGGTGGCGGATATAAAAAAAAAAAACGCCCCGATTGGCTCACCGGAACACAAATAGTAGTCTGGTGCCTCCGAGTAAATAATGACAGTTGGTCAAATACAGTAGAGAGCAGGGTAAACACACGATAGGAGATGGTTCTTTAAACATTCAGCACGACTCTCTTGCTTCTATCTTGGGTTTTAAATTTCCATTTAGTAACCTGGCGTCGTATTCTGTGTTTAAGAAGCCGCTGACTGAGGTTGTGTTTTGGGTTCATATTTCAAGGTAGTTACTTATTACTGTTGAATTATTAACAGAAAGAACAACACAACTTCAATTCAAGCCCACTGGATACCTGTCCCCAGATGCCCCAGAAGAAAAATAACAATTAGAGCTCATTAGTGAATTCAAAGGAATGATTACCTTTAATTTTTAGAATTTAAGACCCATTAGAAGTATGTTAAAATAACATATACTAGCAGTGACCTCCACTGGGTAGTAATGGTTGCTGAACTAGAAATATGTTCATATCTCACAAGTGAAAATTAGAAACAGCCCAGTTGTCCCTATGAAGCTCCAGTTTTTAACCCCAACTCCAAAATTAAAGCCAGCTAATCCTCAGAATTAATTTAAGTGTCATTTTAGCTGATGCCTCCAAGTAACGAAAGAGGATGTTTTGACTTACTGTTCTCTTTCAGTCCCAGAAAGTCGGCTAAAGTAGCAGGTGGCAGCTGAGGCTGAACTCTAGCCGACCTTTGCAATATGTGAACGGTCCAAAAAAAAAAAAAAAAAACGTCTTCATCCGAGGACTCGCGCAGCTTTCCCTGATCGCCGCGGGGTCCCTCTGGCCTTGAATCAGCGTCACGTCCGAGCTAATTATCATTCGTGACTCACCTATCTGCCTGTCAAACTGGATCATTTGTAGAAACTAATGCCAGCTAGTACACTATTTTGAAAATAAAAGATAAAAGTGGACGACAATGTGGAAGAAGTTTAGACCTGCATTCCTTCTAGTGGCCAGCAGGGGGCGACTGCTCCGGTTGCAGGAAGACGTCAGATTCTATAGAAGTCTATGAGAAAATGACTCTACTTCTCATTTGATTTGTCACATCAGTGAACATTTTCCTAATCCGTTTATGGCCTCAATTGCTAGTTTCTAGTCTCTTTTAATGCAGCTTGATGTTTATTTTGTAAATTATGGTCCCATTTACAGTTAAATGGGCAATAAAATCTGCTCTGACATGGTGGGAAAATGGCTTGGGTTACAGCTGCAGTGCCATAGTTTGTTTCAAAAACACGCTGCCTGTCGCTTTCTGTAGCTTCTGACATAACTACAAATATCTGCAACTTTTTATCTGAGCAAAAATTTGCACCAAGATATCTGGAATTACATATTTACTGGGCAAAACTCCAGCTCAAGACATCTACAGCATCATTCAGACTAAATCAAAATGTTTAAAGTTGTAGATATTGTGAACTGGGGTTAATTCAGGATAACTTAAACTAGAATTAAAGTGGCGATATCTGAAACCGGAATTACAACTAGTCATAATTTAGCAGATATTTGGAATGAGAAACCCCATACACAAAAATGGGATAATTTATGTTATTAATCCTGGGAAGATGGGGTATTTTAAATGTTATTTTTTCGACTATAAAGAACTGAATTTCTACTGTACATATCCAGCCCCTAACATAGCAGCTTTAAGCAAACAAATTAAAAAATACACAGTTTGAGTTACTCACTGAAATCTGGTCATGAGAAAAAAAAAAGAAAAAAGAAATCTACTATTAGGTAGGTTCTCCTTGAATATTCCCCAAACGGCTGACCTCTTTTTATGCCGTTAGTTCTAACACAGTTCTACACATGTTTGAAGCGCTCACCTCCTCGTCGAGTGACAGGCAGCTGCTACACACACACACACACACACACATGCATGGCGGTAAACACGCACACACACAAAATAAAACGAACAGCTTGCCTCCCTCACTTGAACCTCATCTGTGAAAGATGCTTCTTTTTAGCAGACACCAAGGTCCCATCAATCCCGCTGAAGGCCACGGTCACACACACACACACACACACACACACACACACTGGGCTGTTTGACTATTTCACAGGGTAAATATTAAGACCTGTCTGTTGTTTAGTCAGCGTGGACGCTCATAGGAAGGTGGCTGCATTAATATATGTTGCGGCGACGCTAACGTGTGTTTAACGCTGTGTTTGCATTGCAGAGCCCCAGCTGAAGGGCATCGTCACGCGGCTCTACTGCAGACACGGCTTCTACCTCCAGATGCTGCCGGATGGCACCATGGAAGGCACAAAGGACGAAAGCAGCTCCTTCTGTAAGTGAGAGCGAGAGCGCAAACCCCGCAGATGTCGTCACGGTTTACGGCTCAGTCAGTACTTGCGCCGCTGGGAATCCCCCCCCCCGCTTTGCTTTTAATGCCAAAAAGAACATTTTAAAAGGGGACTTCCTGGCAGTTTTATGTCTGAATATCCTGAGAGCACATGACAACACTGCCATGCTTTTCTGGTTTGAATCACACTAGAATCAATCAGCCTGAAAATGTATGCACACTTGGCGAGGCGCACTGGGCGGACGCCAGCTAAATGGGATTTGTTCTCGTTGCATAATATATCACAGACGATCGCTGGCGCAGGGGAAGTTTTTCAGACACATGTTTTTAATTGTTTCGCTTACAATCATTCTGACCTTTAAGTTACAAGCCTCATGTAAATCTGTGGGTAACACATCTGTGAGTACGTGCACGCTGAACTCTGGATGTGTGTGCTGTCAGTCTCAAGCACTCAGTGAGTCGGATATCCTGTAGAATTCTTATAGAGGATTTTACAGGCTGCTCAGTTGGGCTGTGGGATGCTGGGGAGAAAGACTTGACGTCGCTCATCGAGGCTCCTAGCAGCAAACAGTTCTCTGATCCTTATTGTGATGTTCTCACTTGTATGATCATCCAGGACAAACAGCGATTTTTCATTAATATGGAAACATTAAAATCAAAAGTCAGGCTTAAGACAGACTTTATTGTCCAGTTTGGATCACAAGACCGTCGCAGCATTCCACTAATGACAGCTCTGCTTCAACTCCTGCCTTCCATTTTTCATAGGACACAGGTCTGGAAAGACAACTGTCATGTGATTGGATTGTGTTTTTGAAACCATCCATCCATCCATTATCTATACACCGCTTAATCCTCGCTAGGGTCGTGGGGGGCTGGAGTCTATCCCAGCTGACTCAGGGCGAAGGCAGGGGACACCCTGGACAGGTCGCCAGTCTATCACAGGGCTACACTTAGAGACAGACAACCAAGAACACTCACATTCACACCTACAGACAATTTAGAATCACCAATTAACCTCAACATGTTTTTGGACTGTGGGAGAGAACACACTGAAAGATCCCAGGCGTCCTAATCTTCTAGCTGTGAGGCAACAGTGCAAACACCGAGCCACCTTTTGAAACCCTCTTTAGTAATTGTGGAAATCACGTGTTTTTCGACATGAAAAGTTACCTCATTAGTGATTTCTGTTTGCCACTTGGAACCTTTCTCATATAATGTAACACCTGCACAGGCGTCCAAATGTATTTATTTCATTGCTTTGGATAGCTTTGCACTTTAAATGAGCAAACAAATTAGTCATGTTGCTTCATCTAGTGGCAACAATTCAGAGACACTCCTGACAGAATGCTTGCTTTTGCTCATTGTCATCCCTTCTGTAGCCGAAATATTTCAATACAACTGATGTTGCATTACTTTTTGCAACAAAATCTTCCTTTTCGGTGTTTCTCCTCTGCATGTCAAGGAACACTCTGAGCCCAACATATCCAAGACCAATTAAATCACCCATCTCTTGTAGGTTACTTATGGAAGATGCAAGTTTTCTTTTTGCATAAAGCAGCAACAACACTAGCAGCTTGATGCGTTTAAGCGCCTGCGACATAACGATGCAACGTTGCTGCTCGCTGACACCTTAGCAAAATTCCACGTTGATTATTTGCACTCTGCTCGTAGCTACAGCATTTTAAGATTACTTAATGGCACCGAAGAATCTGCTGAAGGTCTTAAATCAACACCTAAATTTCTGCCCATTAGCACAAAAAGCTGCTGCCGTCTTCAGCTGCTGAGTCTCCACACACACACACACACACATCATCAGCACAACTACACACCTCCCCCTGTGTGTGTGTGTGTGTGGGGGAGGGAGTCATCACCTGGGTGATTACAGACCAAAAACATCATATCCCATCATTCCCCAGAGTCCCTCTAACTCGCCCAAAGAGATCAATATTATATTAGAGGATATCCCCTGATGTGGCAACACAGCAGTTTTTTTTTTCTTTTCTGTCAAAACACCAGTTTGGAGGGAAAACATGAAGTTAGCACAATTTTGGATTTGCAATGTACAGGGAAGGATAGAGGGGGTAAATCACACTTTGACTCCCTCTGTAGAGTTCCTGTTTCAGCTTTTTTGTCAGTAGCAGCTGCAGCCATACCGGGTTTGGAATAACCTGGATTTAACCTTGAGGTGTTTACTGAAGGAAGAGCTGTATTATGTAACACTGGCAGGATTGTGCCGGCTGATCGGACACTCACATCTCCGTAGATTTGCATTTCAAGACAAGGATTTCACGTGAGCCTTCGAGAAGAGCGTCCCGGGAGCGCTCGCGGAGACGGAGCTGGTGTGGCGGCAGGAGTTGTGAGTCCTCCAGTCCCAGCTGTTTGGTTAAACACCTCCACAGTAACTGATTAGACCTGCTCTCACCTCTCCCTCTTATGTAACAGCACACCTACACCGAGGCAAACATGAGGCTGAACTTTAAACATTCTCATGTCCAATCTGAAATATTCATCGCGTAATACCGCAGGGCACATCCGAAGGCGAACAGGGCTCGTTTCCAGACTGGATGTAAAGACCTGCTGTTGCGTAACAGCGCTCCTGGTGTGTCGGGGTATTAAACATCAGTCAGCGGAGGTCACCCCGCAAAAGTGTTTGCGTGGGTCTGACTTACGGTTCATTTTCTAACAACAATCATTCCATCAATCCCAGATCCAGGGGGATAACGCCACCCTGGGCTCTTTGCATTCTCCGGGTGGCAGGTAAGTCCCGTAAAACTCATAAACTGTACTTTTTTTTTTTTGTGCCTCCATCAGATTATTTATTTATTCAAGCAGGAGTCGTGGAGTGATTGACGTCTTTGGAACCGAGTATCAATCAAAAAGCACAATCTGCCCGCCTGCTGAGAATATTGAAAGTGTAGAAGTTGCAGGCCCGTGTGCAGCAGACTTATCTTCAGTGGTCTCGCTGGGAGCACAGACGTTTCCTGTAAAATGCAAACTGGCCCGCAACCAGACAGCTTTCAGTTTCACTCCATTTCACTCGCAGCCACAACCACCCCTGTAAAATCTCTTTTTTTTCTGTTTGCTTCTTGCAGCCAGCAGAGGTTATTTATTGCATTAACTGCATCGACTGAGTTTTTTTTTGTTGATATTGTCAAGAACTTCGCTGACCACTTTAGTCTGTTTAGGGACCAACCTTTTAGCTCTGTTTAATACGCCCGTCATTTCTGGCACACTTTACTTAAATAGAAACCGATTAACTTATACGCAGCTTTTCAGCAATATATCAGCTTCAAGCCGACCCTTACTTCAGTTCATATTATGCTTAAATGGTGCTTTTATGGCGTCCCCTAATTGTTATATTAATGAAATTATTACAGCCTAAGTGGGGTTGTTGGGCCTCTGGGTTAGTTAGTTCCCTGATATGTGACACACAAAGCTGCTGGAGCAAACTGAAATGATGCTTTAATTAAAGAAGATCCAATCATCACTAAAGCATATGTGAAGCAAAAGAGCCAATAAAAACAAATGGCCAGAGTTTGACGTATTTAAGGTGGTTTGATTGATTCACGATGTCAACTCGTGCATTGAGCAACATGTCTTCCACCTTAAAAGTTGCCAGTAGCTGCTGGGTTAACTATAAAGCAATAAAATATCAGTTCATAACTTATGATACAACTTATTTAAAGCTTTTATTTTCCCCTGTGTGCCTCATTTATCACCAGTAGAGTCCATCAGCGTTGGGGTTTTAAACTCGGATTGCAACACAGTTATTTACAAAAATGTCTTAATTAGTCTATTGGCTCACAGTCTACCATAGATCAGTGATGTGACTGATAACAAGATACTGAGGCAGTATTGACGTAATCCTTTTAGATGAGAGTATTAAGCTGCTTTTTGGAAATAAATGAGCTGCGGCATTTATCAAATTCATGAAGTCAGTGTAACAGTTGATTGTGGTGAGTTGTAGTTGACTCATTCATGTAAACAGTGGTTACTTAACACTGGAAACGAGCCACAACTTAGCTGTGCAAATGCATCAAAGGTTTTATTTTTGTAGTTTTAGCCAATATTACACCAGCCTTTGGCACCATTATATCCCTAAAATCCATATCGTTGCTACACCAGAGTTTAAGTTTGCAGGAAAGACAAGCGGTCAGAGAGTCAGATAGATATTTAGTGTTAAAAAGCTGAACGTTTGCACACTTAAAAAGCCAGGTATGCTCAGGAAAACTGTGGTTATGTGTGTGTGGACTACTACAGCACGTGCCGTCTGATCGTTACCGAGTTTGGTCGTATCATGACTTAACAGAGTGACTTTCAGATTATATGATTTGCTCTTCAGAACAAATCTTACAGCATGAGCTCTATTCCGACCTTATCGACCCATTAAATGATCAGCCTTTACTGTTCATTCCCATCCGTGTGGACCAGTAGGAACCTCCTCTAGCAGGCTCAGCAGAAGTCATTTATCCTGATCACTACTAAACAGACAGTAACCCCAATAATATCGTTGACCTCTTGCGGTCATGTGGAAAAGTGCACTGAAACGTACAAAATGATGCGTTCATGTGGTCAAATTTTACTCCAAACCATGATCCTTTTCTAAACCTGACCAAGTAGCTTTGGTTGGTAAACTTAGTGAATCATTGTGAAACCAACTTGTGTATCCTCTCCAGTTAAATCACCACCCTGTTGCCACTAAATGAGGTGGTGACAACCCACTGAGCTCACTAGAAGGTGGAGGAGGCCCCTCCTGGCCCACATGCATGGGAGTGATCCGCAGCGATAATGGCCATTTAATGGACTGAAAACATGAGACCTGCATGTAATCATGCTCATTCTCCAGCTCTGCCTTCTTTTTTCTAGCTTCCACCCGGTGCAGTGATTATGCACCCCACTGCGGTGCACAACAAGAGCATCCAAAAAAAAAAAAAAAGGGCCAAATCAGCAGCTAATGGAATAAATAATTAAAGAAGCAACAGTGC